GATGGAATTGGGGTCCTAAACCGTTCAAGATGTTTAACTATGTCATGGAGGATGATTGGTTTGGTGAGATGATGGAGGAGTTGGTTAAATTATGTAAAGTAGAGAAGAAAAAACCAATCTCCAGTGTGTTAAAAGAGGTGAAGGAAGCGGTAAAGAGATGGTCTATGAAGGGCTACCTAGAGCTTCCCGGAAAAATTAGTAGGTTGGAGAAAGAAATTGAGGACATGGAATTAGATATGCAACAAGGCCTTCCCATGGTGTTTATGAAGCAATTAGTGGAAGCAAAAAAAGAACTATGGGACCTTTATAAGAAAGAAGAATCGATTTGGTTACAAAAGTCAAGACTGAAGTGAAGTTTGGAATGAGACAAGAACACAAGATTCTTTCATCAATGTGTTAGAGGTAGAGGAAGGAGGAAATGTATTAAGTCCCTCAAAGTGGACAATGAATTCACTTCTGATCCTAGTTTAATTAAAGCTTCGGTGTTGGAGTTTTTTAAAGGACTGTTTAACCAAAAAAATACATTGAAGGTTGAGGAATTGGATTTGGAGTTCTTAAAACTTTTGAAAGTGCAAAGTATGGCCCTTGAGAAGCCATTTACTGAAGAGGAAATTTGGGAAGCAATTGCTAATTCGGATAGCAACAAAGCACCTAGACTTGATGGACTGAATTTAAGTTTTTTTAAGAAATTCTGGCCAAGTTTGAAAGAAGTTATGTTGTTGTTTTTTAAGGAGTTTTATGAGGAGAAGGAATAAGACAGAGAGGTGAATCATTCTTTCATTTCTCTTATACCTAATAGGGTTAATCCGGAGGGGCTAGAAGATTTTAGGCCAATTAGCCTCGTTGGAGGATTTTATAAAATTCTTTCAAATGTCTTAGCTAGAAGGTTGAGCTTGTGCATTAATGAAGTTATAAGTCCGTCACAATTTGCATTTATACCGGGGGGACATATTATGGATTATTCGTTTATTGCAAATGAAGGTATTGATTTTTGGAAGATTGAAGGGGGTAGTTTTTAAGGTGGACTTTAAGAGAGCTTATGATTTGGTGGATTGGGTGATTTTGCAGAAAATAATGACTAAAATGGGATTTGGAGATAAATGGTGTTCTTGGATTTATCAATATGTGTCAACTGCTTCCATTTCGGTTTTAGTGAACGGGACACCTACGGAGAAAATTCACACTTCAAGAGGATTAAGACAGGCTTGTTCGTTATCTCCTATGTTGTTTAATTTGGGAGGTGAGTTATTGCACTTGTTGTCGGTTAAAGCAGTGGAAAAGGGGTTGTTTTCGGGTTTCGAGCTAGGTACTCATGAACGTTTCTTCATGTTATCACATTTGTAATTTGCGGGTGATCTTATAATTTTAAGCAAGACAACTATTTGTGATTTGCTGAATGTTAGAAGGGTACTATTAATTTTTGAATTGTTGGTGGGATTGAAGTTAAATCTAGGTAAGAGCATAATATTTGGAATTAATGTTGAGGAGGAGGTGTTAGCTTCTTGGGCTAAGGAAATTGGTTGTTCAAAGGGATCTTTTCCATCGGAGTACTTAGGTTTACCGATGGGGGCCAAGAGGAACTCGTTTGCCTTGTGGGAGCCGGTTGTACAAAAATTCTATAACAATTTGGCTGGATGTAAGGCTAAGTCTCTATCGTTGGCTGCAATGGCAGTTTTGGTGAAATATGTGTTGTGCTCTCTTCCCATTTACTTCCTTTCTATTTTTCAGATCCCAATCAGTGTGTTCAACAAATTAAACTCTATCATGACATCTTTTCTATGGGGGTTCGACAGAAAAAAGGAACATTCATTGGGTGAATTGGAAGATGGTGTGTAAGCCAAAGAGGTTGGGGGTTTAGGGATCCCAAATTTGTTTCTCTTGAACAGGGCTCTTCTGGGGAAATGGGTATGGAAATTTCCTTCAGAAAAGAGTTCTTGGTGGAAAAAAGTTGTGTTGTGTGTACAACTTGGATCCAAATTCTATGATGATTGGGAATACTTGGATAGCACGTGTTTCTTGGATTTGGATAGGATTCGTTAAGAACTTTTCTAGTGATGAATTTGGGGATTATCTTAGGAAAAATATGTGTTTGAGAGCTGGAAATGGAGAATCAGTGGAGTTTTGGCATGATGTATGGCTAGGTCTGGTTCCTCTTAAAGATCGGTTTCCATGGCTTTTTGCTCTTTCGAACAATAAAGGGGGTAAGGTTGCAGAGTTCAGGCTGAATAATGCTTCGGAATGGGTTTGGGATATTCAAGTGAGAAGGAACTTGGTGGATTGGGAGGTTGAGCAGTGGTTGCAGCTTATTTCCTTGTTGAATAGTACCACTTTGTCATTATTAGAGGAAGATTGTTGGATATGTTTAGGGAATGGAGAGGGTTGCTTTTCAGCTAAATCATGCATCAAGAATTTTTTTGATCGGGATGGTAATGACGGGAAGGATGGTACTTGGGAAAGACATGTATGAGCAGGGGTAGCACCACCCCGAGTGAAAACTTTTGTTTGGCAAGTTGCACATCAGAGAGTGGCGGTTAAGGAGGAACTGTTGAAGAGAGTGCTGGGATTGGTGACCCTTTATGCCCAATGTATGGGAAGTGTGAGGAGTCGGTTTCACATCTGTTTTTGCACTGTGAGGTGGTATGGGATTTGTGGTCTAGATTCTTGAATTATTGTAATGTTTCTTTTGTGGTTCCTAATAATTTGATTGATTTTATAATTTTGTGGGATGACTTAGTTCCGAGCTCCACTATTTGGAAATTCATTCCAAGGATGGTGTTGTGGTCGGTTTGGAAGTGCAGGAATGATATAATTTTCTAGAAATGGAAGGTGGATATTGCGTTGTTGTTCTTTCTTGCTCGATTTAAAACTGCTTCTTGGTTTGGAGCTAGATTTAAGGATGTTCATATTCCTTTCGACTCCTTACTGGGGATATAAAATTAGCAGATTTAGCAGGAAGAAAGAAAAAGGGGTGTTCTCCTTCATCGAGGTGGGTACCTCCTCCGGAAGGGTTCATAAAACTTAATGTAGATGGTGTGATGGCTAAGGGATGGGATAAAGGAGGAATATGTGGACTGATTACGGATGGCAGAGGTATGCTGCTTGGTTCGTTTTCAGAGAAGGTTGGGGGAGGTCCTCCTATACTTGCAGAGCTATTGGCGATCAAAAGAGGGTTGATTCTTATTGAAGAAGCAAGATCTATTCCAATTCAGAGGATTATCCTGGAATCGGATTCTACTAGTGCTTTGAAGTGGATTAAAAATCTGGATTTATGTACCCCTTTATTTCAGTTCTTGGTGAGATATAGCTACTCGTGTGGAAGGACAGGGTATTATTACAAGGCATATTCTGAGAGCTGCTAATTGGGAAGCGGATGAGTTAGCTAAAGCTGGTATAGGTTGACTAATAGGTTATGTGTTGCGGTTCTTAAGGTGTTGTGTTATGTTTGTATTTCAGAAGGGTGTTTTGGTTTAAGTGTTATGTAATCAGTGTTATGTATTAAGTATTATGTTGTAAGCAGTTAGTGGTTAGAGATTGGATGTGTATTATTGTTCAAATTAATAAAATTCAGAGGCACTCTTTTCCTCCTTCCTATGTCCTTCATGTTACTAATGTAACATCACCCCAATGGAAACTTTTGTTTGGCAAGTTGCACATCAGAGAGTGGCGGTTAAGGAGGAACTGTTGAAGAGAAGAGTGGCTGGGATTGGTGACCCTTTATGCCCGATGTGTGGGAAGTGTGAGGAGTCGGTTTCACATCTGTTTTTGCACTGTGAGGTGGTATGGGATTTGTGGTCTAGATTCTTGAATTACTGGAATGTTTCTTTTGTGGTTCTTAAGAATTTGATTGATTTTATAATTTTGTGGGATGACTTAGTTTCGAGCTCCACTATTTGGATTCATTCCAAGGGCGGTGTTGTGGTCGGTTTGGAAGTACATGAATGAGATAATTTTCTAGAAAGGGAAGGTGGATATTGCGTTGTTGTTCTTTCTTGCTCGATTTAGAACTGCTTCTTGGTTTGGAGCTAGATTTAAGGATGTTCATATTCCTTTCGACTCCTTAGTGGGGGATATAAAATTAGCAGATTTAGCAAAAATAAAGAAAAAGGGGTGTTCTCCTTCATCTAGGTGGGTACCTCCTCCGGAAGGGTTCATAAAACTTAATGTAGATGGTGTGATGGCTAAGGGATGGGATAAAGGAGGAATAGGTGGACTGATTAGGGATGGCAGAGTTATGCTGCTTGGTTCGTTTTTAGAGAAGGTTGGGGGCGGTCCTCCTATACTTACAGAGCTGTTGGCGATCAAAAGAGGGTTGATTCTTATTGAAGAAGCATGATCTATTCCAAGTTAGAGGATTATCCTGGAATCGAATTCTACTAGTGCTTTGAAGTGGATTAAAAATCCGGATTTATGTACCTATTTGTTTCAGTCCTTGGTGTGAGATATAGCTACTCGTGTGGAAGGACAGGGTATTATTACAAGGCATATTCTGAGAGCTGCTAATTGGGAAGCGGATGACTTAGCTAAAGCTGGTATAAGTTGACTAATAGGTTATGTGTTGTGGTTCTTAAGGTGATGTGTTCTGTTTGTATTTTAGAAGGGTGTTTTGGTTTAAGTGTTATGTAATCAGTGTTATGTATTAAGTGTTATGTTGTAAACAGTTAGTGGTTAGGTACTGGATGTGTATTATTGTTCAGATTAATAAAATTCAGAGGCACTCTTTTCCTCCTTCCCATGTCCTTCATGTTACTAATGTAACATTTAGGGTATGAATGGGTTTTAATGAGGCCTAATCTTCTATAAAAAAAAGTTCTCAGTATTACTGTGGTCTCACAAATCTATCTAAATAAAAGTGGTATATGAACCATAGATGTTGACTTTTAGAATGTTCTACATTAAGAAAAGAGCAAATTAGGTGACTGAAAACAAGATAATTTATATGGATATCCTTCACAACAGTTCGACAATGTAGAATCCAACATCATCCAACTAAGGCCCCATAATGTAATACTGTTCTAAACATAACCAAAACTGAAGCTTATAAAACTTTAATTCAATCGATGTAACATTTCTAGTTTTAACTAAGCAAGTCCATTCAAGTAGTGTATGGTATGCAAATAAAAACGATTGCATAAATCACCTCCTGAATGTCTGATGAGAATAGCATAGGTGATTTCTTATAAGCTCCATCCTTCATCCTTGATTTCATGAGACCTAAGTGAAAGAGGCTATCAAACTTGATCCCTTGGAAATTGTCAAATAGAAGCTTGCACAAAGATGTGAAGTTTTCAGAAATTATAACTTCAAAGAAAACACGCTAACACTTCTCAGTGGTGGTTTGAGGTTTTGACTCCTTTAAGGACATGTTACATATAACAGCCTCCAGCTCCTCAGAATCATGTAGAAAGTTAATATTCCAATACATCAGAAAGAAAATTGAAAAGAGAAGGATTAGTGCAAGGCATGATAGACCACATTGAATTTAGATAAAAACATAAAACTTAAATGTCACATTACAACCATTTTCTCGAAATAAAAGTGCATCTTGAATGCAACGCTGTATACCACCTTCATCACCACTTAATAACTGATGCATGTGCTCCAATACAACATTTCTCCACTTCCTTTGTAGACGATAATTTTTCACTTAAAAAACACAATGATCAATCCCAGGAAGAGTGACCTGCTCACAGTAAGTATAATCCATTAGCATGTGAAGATGTACTTTGTGGTCTCAAAAGCCAAACATCTTTCTTCAAAAGAACAAAAAAGACAAGAACTTATCAGTGTAAAAAGAATATTGGGTATACACGAAAAAAAGAGAACTGATAAAATGCTTATGTTTGGATAACATAGGGCCAAATTATAAATCTTGCTGTATATAATTCAGAATCTTTACACTTTTATCATCCATACATTACAGAGAAGGGTGGCATACACTATCATAGATTGCTTCTCTAATTTCAGAAGCTTCTACTTCCTTAGTTACCTAAAGATTACTAATAGTCATAAAGTAAGAATTTATTTATGGGGTTTATATGTAATGCCGAAAAGATTTTCTTTATTAAAGATACAGGATACTTAAGGAATAGAAAAACGAAACTTGTCAAAAACAACTATCACTTTCAATTATCATTGTAAGACAGGATAACAGGATTAAAATTCTCAAAAACATTAGCCCTTATTCCTCTTAAAGACATGAGAGAAATAAGCTGATGTTACCATAAGAGAAAATTTTAACATTTTCACATCTCACTCCCTTTCAACACACATCTTGATGAAGCCTTAGAGAACTATGTTGGAGGGCTAAGGCCAACTTTTAAGAATATTTGCTGAATATGCTTTCACTTGCAAACAATTTCTAGTCTCATGGAAGAAGAAATTACATTTAAAAAAGAATCACCTTCTTTCAACCAACAAAGCCACCCAAATACTACATGAGTTCCAAAATACCATCAACAAGAAACAACTACTCATTGTAGATTTCTAGGCATTACAAGCTTGCATACTATGCACAATAGTAATAAACCTAATACAATAGCTTGAACTTTTCTTTGAAGTACCCAACAACCCAGTCAAATCTTCATCATAACCATAGGATAGTCTCCAATCAGATCTTTCCATCTCTTTGCAAACAATTTTTTTTATCAACAGCCTAAATTTACAATAAGTAAGCTCTTGGGAAAAATTATCTTTAAACATGTCCTGGTGAAAAGTACCTTAATCATAACATGCCCATCTCAACATTAAACATTACAACAACAAAAGAAATTTAACAGATACAACTGCAAGCATACATATTCAGACACATTTATCAAAATCTACCTGGTCAGTTGATGCATTACCGCCATCTTGCACTCTGATCTTTGAACTCAAACTTAACTGTTTGCGCCTCTCATATGTTCAAAAACTCTCACTTGCTCCAGAACTTCCATCACCAGAATCATTCATACATTCATATCCACACCCATTACCCACTGGTTCACTCCTTAAGCATTTAATCTCCTTCCCACACTCTGTTTATTGACCATTGCTTGCCCCCTCCTCAAGACCTATTTTTACCATTCACAAAACCCTAGTTTCCAAACCATTTCACCACAGAGTTAGGGTTTCATTGTAATAAACCAGCGTCATCTTCCGAATTCACAAAACCATCAAATAAAAACTTTAAAATCATCAAATTCAATGAAAATAATCGGTATGAAACTAAGAAATCAAATAAAAAAGAAAAAGAAAATTGAACAGCAAATAAACCTTCCTCTGCTCTCTAATTCCAGTAAAAACGATGAAAACAAAGAGAGAGAAAATACAAACTAAGCAAAGTAATTTAATAGAACTTCACGCTTCACTATTTAAACTATTTAAAGTTCAAGAATTAGAAATTCCAATAGTTAAACAAGTACGTTTTCTGTCTCTGTCTCTCTTTTTCCCTACCTGCATTTCTCCAGAACCAAACAGCAAATAACATAAAGAAAACTGATAATGAAAATGAAAGAAGAACAAAGTAGGTATACCTGAGTTGAAAAATTGAGAGCATAAATTGCAATATGAAACCCTAAAAAGATTTGAGAGAATGTGGTCAGGGTTATTTTTCTCGGAAACTTTAATCTTTACTCTGCAACTTCTCGTCTTATCCCATTTCTTTAGTTTACTGTTTTAATTTTTCAGTTTGTTTAGTTGGATCCGACCGGACGATTCCGGTTGATAGTGTGTTGACACCGACAGATGCCGGTTGTTTAAGGCAAATAAAGTGCTCAATTCAAAAGTCAAAGTTCAAGTCAATCTACTGTTAGAATCTCAAACGTATATTTCTGACCAATCAGGAAAAACACATTTACTTCAAATTACCACATTCTCCAAGTCATTTTATGGGAATAATATTTATTTATTAATTATATTATATAAATAATATTTAAAATATGTTTAATATAAAATAAGTTCTCAAATTATAATTTTTCTCATTTAGTGTCTAAACTATTTTTTATCAGTCCAAATGGCTAATGTTTCCAACATTATATTTTAGGTGTTTGGATCGTTATTGTTGTTGAATTATGTCGTTAAATGATGTATCTTTATAAAATTTAAAAAAAATTAAAAAAAATTCAAAATTATTTGAGCATAAATCATGTCACTTAACGACAAAATTAAAAATTTGATAGACCAAAACACCTAAAAGTGTAACATTGAAAACATTAAGCATCTGGATTGACCGAAAAAATTTAAATACCTAAATAAAAATTGATATAATTTGGATATTTATTTTTATATTAAGCCTTTAAAATAATACTCCTTAATAAATAGTTATGTGGAATATAATTTGGATAGAGTTTTAGAAATTTACATGGTAAGGAAAAAAAGAAAGATGATGAAAATAAAGGTTAAAAATATTTTAAAAAATTATAAATTTTATTTAAAAAAAAAGATATGTGTCGTGCATGAGTACATGTATTTTCTTTAATCATTTAATCAGTGTATATTTAAAAGATTGCCATAGCGACATGAATTTAATTAAGTTCATAACTTTGACGATCTAAAATCTAACAAGTTTTATCATAAGATTCTAAAATCTTACATTAATTAGATATGGATTTCTTTTCAAATGTTTAAATATAATTTTTTTAAATGTACACTAATGAAGTGATTAAAACCAAGGTTTATAGGTATGTGTTACCACCGTCGTCCAAATCGACTCTTGGCCTTCCAATTACGTGTCTTCAACACTTAGAGCAAGTGATTTTTTTTATATAAAATTTGTAATTTTTGTACACTTTTGACCTTTTTTTTTCTTTTATTTTGGTCTTAAATAGCGCAAACGCTATAAAATTTGACTTAATATGTTATCATGTCAGCAATGATGGACCTTCACTAAGACATCTTTAACTAAGCACACCTTCGTCCTACGTGATAAAAAAAATTATATTACCCTAAATAATTTTTAAATACTATTTACGTAAATATAAAAATTATATTATTCATATAAAAATTTTCTTTATACAACTCTTTCTTTTTTTTTTATTATAATGATACAATTGTAAATATGAATACATCCTAAGTTTACACATAATTTATATAATATAAAATTTTAACATAAATGTTTAAAAATTTATAATTTTAAATTTTGACAATTCTATTAAAATTTCATTACCTACTACTGTTATTTTATCATTAAATTCATTTTTATTTTAAAAAATTATTAAGAACAAATCCAACGTAAAATATAAAATGTACTGATGAATATTATTCTATTTATGAACAAAAATAATTAGAATAAAATATATAAATAAATCTTTGATTACTTGAGTTGTTTGATTATAAAAAGTTATAAACAAAATTTTGATTATAAGATATTTTTAATCGTTCTAGACTTAACATATGTAATTAATATAATCAATAGATACACGGTGAATTCGAGAAAATAACAATGAAAAGTTATCCAATGAATTTTTTTATACCACCAAGGTACTTCTGATGTACGTTTACAATTTCGAATAACCATAAAGAGAGTTATTAGATACATTGATTCTAATTTTACAAGAGATTCTGAGAAGAGAATATTTCTAATTGGAGGTTGTGCCATTAGCTGAAATGCTACCTTATAAATTATGGTTGCTTTGTCGACTACTGAAATTGAGTGCATGACAATTACTGAAGTCTGTAAAAAAGTAATTTAGTTAAAGTGACTCTTTAGTGAATTAAGTGAAAATCTTCAAATCAATACAATGTCATGTGATAGTCAAAGTGTCATCTTTCTCACAAAAGATCAAATATTTTATATGAGGACAAAATACATTGATCAAATATTTTATATGAGGACAAAATACATTGATATTTGATATCACGTGATATTATTGTTCAAGGTTATATTGTTGTGAGAAAAAATAGCGTTCATGATAATCTTACATATATGTTAACTAATTCACTTCTTACAACCAAGTTTGAGTATTGTTTGGGCTTGTTTGAAGTTCATTGTTGAAGAATATGTTTTTTAGAGGTTTCATAGAAGAAATTGAAAATATGTTCTTATGGTGATGAATTTGTTTGTCGAGGTAAAGAATTGGTTTGTTATTGAGTATGCGTGTTTCATCGAATTTGAGATTATCTCAAATCTTTCGTATTGTCAAAATTCGTGTCAAAGTAAAAATTGATAGAAGTTTAACTCAAATTTGATGTGAAATAAATTAATTTAGAAAAAAATGAGGAAACTAAGAAACCTAATTTAATTAGAAGTAAGAAGTTGTTCTAACTTTGAAAATATCATTCTCCATTTATCTATCAACAATCAACAATTGCGAAGTGATTTATTAGAGAGCATAAGTCATCAACATGACTCTTGATAAGACACTTGATAAATTCAAGAGATTTATCCTGACTAAATCTACTAACTGATGACTACATTTGTACAACCTTTTGACCAATATATACCAATAATGATTCTAGATCTGACCCAAGCATGCATAGAGAGTTACTTCAAGGTCAATATATAAACCTCAATAACATAAAAAAATGGAACTTCGACTACTTTATCCTTAATTACAAAGTTCTTTTCCCTCAATACACCTCAACCAATATCTTCATACATTCCTCGATCACCGACTATAGCTTTTTGTCCAAATCAAAATAGGTGAATCACCATTAGTCAACTTAATCATAGTTATCTCATTAATAATTGATGTGGTGAGTGTAAAGCACGCCTCATATTCAAAGAACCATGATAAGTCCCCTAGAGTCATTCCAGGTTAATCAGTCTAACATGTTATCTTCGTCTCAAAACACATTTGATGTATTTGGTTCTTCTTACCAACAACAATATAATGCGTACGACTTACCATATTAAGGATAGTATCAAGCTTACTATGTCACCTACAATCGATCCAGTCACTATTTCCCCAAAAGAATTATTACCGGTATATATACACTTATGACCAAAACCTTCTCTAAATCAAAAACTTGCAAGTCAAACTAAGAAACCTACAAGTAGAGTTTCAAGCTTCCCAAGATGTACAACTACATCTACAGCAACAAAATCAATAACAATAGTGACAAGTTGTAAAAGTCCTCAAAAATAATTCATACTGTAAATTAATTTTTTAGTAATCTAAGCAAGGTTGAATCTACAAAGAATGATGCTAGATTAATTTTATAAAAATAAGCAAAAGAAAATAGATAAGATGGGAGAATTTTTATATTACAAATTAAATTAACAAATTTAATTAAAAGAAAGTAATTAAAAATAAAGTGAAATTTAATTATGAGAGAATATCTAGTTAAGATAATTTGTAGAATATAATTCATGATTTAATCATATATTTTAGTTTAAGATTATCTAAACTCTTTTTGAATATGTTGGTTATAGTTACTTGAGATGTGTTAATAATCTAATCTTTTTTTATTTATTGTGAACCAAAAAGACGCTTGAGTGATTAATTCTCTTGTTAATTATATAATATCACATATACACTTTTAGGATATAATCTATTCAACTACTTTAAGAATTAAAGACACATAACCCTTAGTTAACTATCTCATACCAGCGCAGATGATTCAAACTAAATCTTATTTATACTAAAACCTACCCACAATTATGGATGAGAAGATTTCAATTTGCAATATAAAGATTTAATAAATTGTAGAGTGGTTAGTTAATGCAATTCACAAATCAATATGTTAGAGTTTGACTCGAATTTAAAGTAGTACAAATTAATTAATATTTAAATCTAGAAAAGTAAGAACCCTATTTTCATTAAAAGTAGAGAACTTTATTAAAGTATATTTCTACTCTATTTAACTTTCGTTTGTAATCAAGTATTTATCCCTATAAATAGATACTAAGGGTAAAGGGTTTGATATCAAATTTTTCTTTCACCAAAATCCTCTTGAATTTTTTCCTTCATATTAGTGAAATTATTCTCTTCTACCAATGGTTTTTCTCTTTTGGGGTTTTCCACATAAATCTTGGTGTTCTTTGTCTTTTTCTCTTTTTCGATCATGTTTATGTGTTTGCCGATAATCGTTTCGATATTATAACAAATTGGTATTAGAGCTTCGAGATCAAGATTATGGTAATAACAAAGTATGATATTCTGCTATTGGATCTAAACACCAGGTTCTCACTAGGTAGGTGAAGATTCTGGATGTTCTTGCACAGTTAGATCCCGACGATACAATAGAAGAATTTTATAGAAGTTGGTAACACAATGGGCGAATAAGGAAAATCGTAAGAATTGTAAAGCCCTTTATTAGGTTTGTTTATATTTATAAAATCAAATGTTGTAGGATGTGTTGAAATAAAAAAATACTACTTCTTTTTGGGCGAAATTGGAGGAACTATGCACGAAAAAATAGTTGACCAACAAGTTACACTTAAAGTAGTGTCTTTATTCGCTCAAATTGGCAGAACGTTTAACTCTTTAAGAGAACATGAATGCATTCAAGGAAAATGTATCTAATCTAGAGACTTTAGAAGTGAAATATGACCAAGAAGACTTAGAATTGATCTTCTTATGTTTGTTACCTCATTTTGACTCATTTTTCAGAGACACAATCTTAGTCAGGAAACACTCACTCTTGAAGAGGTGTACACTAAATGCACTCGTTCGACAATATGAAATATCTTGTATCTGGT